TCTTAAATTTTTATATCTTATGATCAGCTCAGGAATCTGTTGAGCTCACCATGGGCGGGGCCTCCCTCTTCCTGGCCTGCAGCAATGGTGGGGCTGCACCGTTAATGGGGTGGGCAAACTATTGGATGCACAGCACTGGGTTTGTACACCCACAGGGAGGAAGGAGGTCTTATGGTTGGCCTTCCAGGCACCTTTCTAGTTGGGCTGAAATGGAGCTAAGCAAGCTGGGATAGTGTTCCTCTACCTGCCAGGCAGGAAAGTCATTCTACTGCTGGGTCAAGTGGGTTGGTTCCCAGCAGTACGCAGGGAGCTGCCTTGGGGCTGTGTTGCCAGCAAGGGGGATGGAGTGTCTGGAGCTCCTGAGAGTTCCCCCCATTTATTGGGCTGAGGAAATGGTTGGGGAGGTATGTCCTTTCTTTCTCCTGAGGAGAGTTCTATCCAACCCTTAACACCTCTGGTACCCCTTGAATTGCTCTTAAGTCTTTCAAACTGCCACCTTTGCTTTGGGTCTCAGAAGTGTGCCAGCCCTCCCACATTGGCTGAAGTTTCAGCTTCCCAGAGTGTTCTTCCTTCCCCTGGTGTCCAGCCCCGATAATCACCAGAACCCAATGTAATATGGGCTTGTGCTCCCAGAGCAGATCTCTAGGGCCGAGTGTGCAGCGCGACTGGGCTCCTACTCACTCCCTGATGTTCTTTCTTCTGTGTGTAGCCTGGTTATGGGGGAGGACTTGGGTCCCACTCAATCTCAGCTTTGCAACCTCACCCATTTCTGTGGTCCTCTCTTCTTCCTCAGTTGTAGGGGGTCTGTTCTGCAGCCTTCAGGTCTTGTTGCATTTGCTGTATTTTCCTCTATGTGTTTTTGGGAGGAGGTTTCTGTCTTGCCTTCCTATTCTACCATCTTTAATCCCTCTGTTGCTGTTTTTTATGTGGTCTCTCTATCCTTTGTTGTGTAGAAGCTGTTCATTCAGCCTTCAGTCCTTTGGGAGGAATTGCTGTCTGTGTAAGTATAGATTCAATGTGTATCTGGGGTGAATTCAGACTCTATGCATACCATCGTGTCGTACCACTCTGCAGTATTCTTTTTCAATACTACCTTTTTCTGGTTCTGGTATCGGATTCATACTTGTCCCATATAATGAGCTGGGGCAGTGGTCCCTCCTCTTCACTTTTCTTGAAGAATACTCTGTAAAATTGGTATTTAAATATTTGATAAAATTGTCCATTGGAACAATTTGGGTTTGGAGAGTTCTTTTTCAGGATCTTTTAAATTATAAATTCAATTTCTTTAATAAATGTAGAATCATCCAGGTTACTGGAAGAGTTTTGGTTCTTTGTAGTATTCTAGCAATTGGTCCATTTCTTCTAAGTTTTTGAATTCATGAGAATTATGAACACTATTATAAAATTGTTTCTTTTAGTTGGTGCAAGATCTGTAATGATATCCTCTATTTTGTTACTGATATTGATACTTCGTGCCTTGTCACTTTATCTTTGTCAGTGTTACTAGAGATTTATAAGCTTTTTTCAAACAAACAGGTCTTTGTTTCATTGATTTTTTTTCCTGTTTCTCATACCACTGATTTCTGATCTTATCTTTATTATTCCCTTCCTTCTGCTTTTTTGAAGTTTATTTTGCTCCTCTTTTTCTCAGTTCCTGAAGTAAGAACTTCAATTTTTTGAGATCTCTGCTCTTTCCTAATGTAAGCATTTAGTACTGTAAATTTCCCTTTCAGCACTGCTTTAGCTGAATCCCACAAAATTTGACAGATTGTATTTTCATTTTCATTTATCTGTGTATTTTCCTGTTTCCTTTGAGACTCTCTTTTTGACACATGGGTTATTTATAAGCATGTTTGATTTCTAAGTGTTTGAAGATTTTCCTGCTGCCTTTTTGGCATTGAATTCTAGTATCATTCTCATATAGTCAGACATGTACTATATATTATTTCAATTCTTTTAAATTTGTTGAGATTTTTGTTTGTTTTGTTATGGTTGTTTAACACAGAATATGGTATATGTTAGTGAATGTTTCATGGATGCTTAAGAAGTCTGTATTTTCCTTTCTTAGGTAGTGTTGTATAAATGTCAATTAGATCTTTTGGTTGATGGCTTTGTTCAGTTTTTTTAAATCTTGATTTTTTGTCTGATACTTCTATAAGTTGGTGAGAGTGGGATATTGAATGAATTTGTCTGCATCTCCTTTAAGTTTTGTCAGTTTTTGTTTTATGTATTTTAAACCTGTTATTTAGTACATATACATTTAAGATAACTGTTTTCTCTTTTTATTATTTTATTTATAATATTTATTTATTAAGGTATCATTAATATACACTCTTACGAAGGTTTACCATGTAAAACATTGTGGTTATAATATTTACCCATAGTATCGAGTACCCCTCACACCCCATTGCAGTCACTGTTCATCAGCAGAGTAAGATGCCACAGTCACTACTGTCTTCTCTGTGCTACACTGTCTTCCTTGTGACCGCCCACACATACCATGTGTGCCAGTGATAATACCCTTCAATCCCCTTCTCCCACCCTCCCCACCCACCCTCGCCTAACACCCCCTCTGGTAAATGCCAGTCCCTTCTAGGAGTCTTAGTTGGCTGCTGTTTTGTTCCTTCAGTTTTGCTTCATTGTTATACTCTACAAATGAGGGAAATTTGGTATTTGTCTTTCTCTGCCTGGCTTATTTCACTGAGCATAATCCCCTCTAGCTCCATCCATGTTGTTGCAAATGGTAGGATTTGTTTTCTTCTTATGGCTGAATAATATTCCATTGTGTATATGTACCACATATTTATCCATTCATCGAATGATGAACACTTAGGTTGCTTCCATATCTTGGCGATTGTAAATAGTGCTGTGATAAGCATAGGGGTGCATATGTCTTTTTGAATCTGGGATCTTGTTTTCTTTGGGTAAATTCTGAGAAGTGGAATTCCTGGGTCAAATGGTATTTCTATTTTTAGTTTTTTGAAGAACCTCCATATTGCTTTCCACATGGTTGAACTAATTTACATTCTCATGAGCAGTGTTAGGAGGATTCCCCTTTCTCTGCATCCTCTCCAGCATTTGTTGTTGCTTGTCTTTTGAATGTTGGCCATCCTAACTGGTGTGATGTGATACCTCATTGTGGTTATAATTTGTACTTCTCAGATAATTAGCATTGCAGAGCATCTTTTCATTTGCCTGTTGGCCATCTGAATTTTTTCTTTGGAGAATTGTCTGTTCAGATCCTACACCCATTTTACAATTGGGTTACTTGCTTTTTGGGTGTTGAGGTGTGTGAGTTCTTTATATAGACCATTTATATTTAAAATTATTGATATGCTAGGGCTTAAAGGCCCAGATTATTTTTGACTCATGAAATTTTCTTTATATCCTTAACTGTTAAGTAATAGCCATAAGTCACATGAATTTCATTCTTTCATTCCTTTTTTTTTTAAATCTTCTCACAGCATGGCAACTGCATCCTAAGAAAAAGGTTTCCCCAAAGTGATCTTTCCAACAGGCCCATGTTGGAATCTGTAAGGCTCCCTTAAGATCTAGACTCAGATCTTAGGTCCCTGGATGCCGCTTCTACCATATTTTCCATTGACCACATAGGGCCAACCCAAATGCAGTGTGTTTGGTGCCTGCACAAGGCAGGATCATTGTGGCTATCTTGGAGACAGGCTGCCACTTCCATTAATTCACATGCCATAGGTGAAATCAGGGTATGCTGTAACTCAGATTACATCAAGTAGCTAATAACCCTAGTATTCGACTTCCTCATCTGTAAATTGAGGAGAGTATATTAGATGTAGTAGATGGCCATTTATGTCCCTTATGACTCTATGATTCTCCAGCTGTTTCTCAGAATGTCTGTAGATCTTTTTTGTCCCAGCTTTACTGAGGTATAGTTGATAGTTTACAATTGTATGTATTTAAGATGTACAAATTGATGATTTAATGTATACATACATTTTTAAATACCACAATTAAACCACTTAACATCACCTTACAGTTCCATTTTCCTTCCCTTCTTTCCTCCCTTCCTCCCTCCCTACAAATGGATATGTGTATTAACATATTATCATAATACCGCCATGTCTCTGTTTCTACAGATGGATTTTTGGCATGTTTATTATAGTACATTACTGTATTACCACCTTGCAACAAATTACCATGTTACCACCCACCATTTTGGCTTGTTAGGTGTTTGACCTAATCCTTTATATTCATTTCATCTTGTTTAATTCCTAGAAGCTATTTTCAAGGGAATTCCATTGGGAAAGAATTTTGAATCATATACCCAGTGAAATGTGCCTGTCACTAATTTTTCTCATGTATATTCAAACCAATCAGACATACAAAAATAATATAGTGGCAGTGATTATCTAGGCACAGTGTGACTAGCTGTGAAGTAAAGTCATGATGTTTTGTTTGAAATTTTCACCCTGTGCCTTATTAGTAAAAGAATTACAGGTTCAGCAGATTTTCATTGAGAAAATAGATAATGGATAGAGATCATCCTTATATATTATGATCTTGATTTTTGTTTCAGTGTGAGCTATGACAAAACTATTAGGGGAAGGAAGAAGAAAGTTTCTGTTAAATACAGTATGGTTATCATAAAATTGTAATCTTTCCTTTTTATTTTACATGAGCTAGGTAATAAAAGCTTCTTAGTAAAAGTTCAGAATCTGTACCCCTTTAACCAAAGGTATCTGACCAAACATTATATTTTGAAAATAGATACTGAAATGATCTCTGCATCTCTTTCTGAGAATAGTTTAAAGAAATAAAGCTTCCTAGTACCTTAGAAAAAAGACTTATTTGAAGTTTAACATCTGACACTAGTTTATTTACCCTCTTATTGATTCAGTTTCCCAGGCATTGATTTAATTTTTTTCTTATTTTAAGACTTGATGTGTTACAGTCCAGCTTTGAATGATGGATTTTAAGTCCAGACATAACCTCCAGAATAAATATTCCTATGTTTAATTCTATAGTGTCTGCCTTCAGGAGAAATAGCCAGAGGTTCAGATTCAGAGGCGTGCCAGGTTAGTAATTTGGCTCAAACTTCATGGGGAGAATAATTTCTCTCCTAAAATGAAGCACAAAGATAAGTAATAACTTTTTATGCATGATAAGCATCAAAAATATGAACCTGCTGGTCTTTGCTTTTCATTTTTTCTTTACCTCTGTCTTTCAGTGAGAACCTCCTGCAGTGTGCACACGATGTGATCAATAACTCAATAACTTTTTCATGCAGTAATTATCTCCATGTGATATTATCTGAACACTGTTTTTCTTTATTACTCAGAAGATGCTGGAGATATTTATATGACCAGCTGATCCCATTTTAGATAAAGGTGCTTTGTGACAGCAGGAGAAATAAGTTTATTTTAAATAGCCTCTTTAAATGCTCTATAAAAAGCTTTTCCACTTAATTTTCACTTAGCTTAAGAAGGAAGAAGGTGGTTACCAAAAAGGGTTAGATCTTAAGTTCTTACTTTGTGTATTTTATAGTGATAGTCATCCTTTTTAATTTTCAGTAAACGTAACTTAAAATATTAAACTATTTAACATAACCATAATTTTTTCTGATTCCTCAATCATTTTACATATTTCATGGAGGTGTGAGCTAAACACCTAAGTTCTGTTACCTTTGCCTCACAGAGATTCTCATTACAGGCAGAGATACTGCAAGAGTCTCGGATGATGATCCCAGATTGCCAGCGCAGGTTGAAAGCTGCATATACTGATCTTACACAGTTATTAGTAAGTAAATTTTTCCCTGTCTTATGTTTAATTTTTTTCCCACCTGACCAGAAGTCCAAAATTTTAAATATTCAACACAGTAAACTAGTTGGTGACATATTTTGCCCATTTGCCATGTGTATGTGTTTTTAAATAATTAATGGAGTTTAAATTGTGCTTTTAAGTTATGCCTCCAATAAAAGTTTTGTGTCTAGCCCATTATATTTATTTAAGCTTAGTTAATTCAACATATTTGAGTTGTCATGGTAGGTATTCATAGTACTAATATTGTACAATGATACCATGAATTGTTTGGTTTTTATGTAGAAAGATCCTTTTTGACGAATTGAAGGTGAGTAGACAAATTTTAAAAGATTTAAATGTTTCATATGAATTTGGGCCCTTACAAAAAGAATTTGGAATTCTTTCAGATTCAAACCTAAGTCAATTTGAGAGGGAAAAAAGTCCTGTAACATAGGCAGTCCACTCATAATTAACTTGAAGCTGGATAACCCTGTTATCATACTTGATAGTATAAATGCCTTGTGATACAATGGCAGAATAATTTTATAAAGAATTCTAAAAATAATTAAAAGCCATCTTTCTTAAGAGAAGCATGATACTTTATCAAGCCAATTGTTATTACTATTTGATGATAATTTGATGAATTCAAACGTTTCCTTTGCTAATCTCATTTTATGTTTCTGTTTCTTGAGCTAATATTCATTAGTAGCTATATAGCTGTGTCCTAATTCATAGTTGTTTCTTATATAAACAAAAATAATGTAAGGCCTTTTCAGGATTATCATATATGTTCTCTCAGAGAGAATGAGATTATTTTCCAGCCAAAACACTGTAGGAAAAAACAGAGAAATGTTTACATTAGACACAGAACTCCATATTTATGTATAGGAACCTTTTCAAGGCAGAATAACCCTTCTTAACACCCAAAAATGAAGCTGTGGTTTTGAAATAAAAGATAGATGAAAGCAGGAAGTAATTGCTTTATTAAGATACTGTCTGAAACAGAATCACCATTTGTATTTCCTGACAATTTTAATGCTTTTTTTCTTTCATGAATCTAGTAGCTGAGAAAGTAATAGAAATTGATTGAAAAGAATACTGTCTTTGAATGATACATTTGTGTATGAGGATATCTATACCTATTTCTACCCTCAAAGAGCTTACACTTACTGGCAGAAAACAAAGACGTGTTTAGGTATATTGATGTTTAGGTATATTGTAGAAGTTTGAGAAATTCTTACCTATAGTATGATTTAAGCTAATATTCAGTCCCATTTCTTTAAATTTTCATATTAAATACACATTTTATTACCTCTGCTATGTAACTGTATATCTCCATATTTTATTGACCTAACAAGAATTACTGACCATAGTTTTTTTTTTATTAAAAGTTAAAATTTTCTGTGCACAATAACTTACATGGTACTTTTTCATTTATCTCCTACCATTATAATATATTAGTAAAAGTTTTCAGTATAAAATATTAAGGAAAACTCAATCTTTAAATGTCAGAAAATGAAAGATGTTAGTATTTTGTTTACTCGTAATAGGGTATATAATATTCATTAACAAGCAGACAGTTTGCTTTTTGATTAAAAAATTGTACGTAACTGTGATGTGACATTGCAGTGGCCTCTTGTCGTGAATAGCTGGAGGATTATTTTGGTCTGAATGCTGCCATATATGTAACTTGTTAGTAAATCATTTTTTATATTTAGTCCATTAATAATCTTTTTGTATAGTGATGTGTTAACAAAGTGAGAATGGATTTTAAAAAATTTTTTCTGAGGTTTTTCTTTAACTACTTACTGCCAATAGCTTTAAATGACCATGTTTTTCACTTATTCTATGAGAATATTATACAGTGAAACAAACAAAACCTGTTATTTCTTCCTTTAATCTGCAAAGAAAGGACACAACTGTGGGAAGTCTGTGGAGTTACACTGTATTTAGATGGAGGCTTAAGATCCTTTCTCTTTTAATTTTTGAGGGCTGTTTATTTTACGTAGATGGTTTGTAGTATTTGAGTAAATAACAAAGTACTAAAGCTTGGAAGTAAGCCTAATTTTTATTATATTTTATTTCAGGAGAATGAAAAAGATTTGGAAGAAGCTGAGGAATATAAGGAAGCACGTTTAGTAGTGGAGTCAGTGAAGTTAGAAGCTTAAAGTTTTTCTGTACAGGGTGTCTTTTGCAGTAAATCTGAGATCCATTCCACAATTCATTATTTTTGACCACAGCTGTGTGTTCAAGTAGTATGAGAAGGTGATTCTTTTTCTGCACTTGCGTATATTTTTCTTTGCTTAATTAATGTGTCAAATAAATAAATGAGTTCATCTAATAAAATGTTTCATACTTTACAAAATATTTTTGATTATCCTTTTATCATTAAGTCATAGACTTTTGACAGAGAATTATAATCTTAGGTTCTATTTGAAGTTTATATATTTTGCTTCCTAAGTGTGGATTGTGTTAAAAATAAGATACCTTTTTTAGATTAAAATATCCAAATTTTGATCAGTTTATTCTGAATAAGGTGTAACTCTCTGATAAGGAAAGAGGAACATTTCTTTGGATAAGACCTCACATATTTATCCCTTCACATTAAAAGTCTAACATTTTCATTACTATAAACTAATGGGAAACATTGAAATCTTTTTCCAAAAAGGAAGGTTTATACAGAAAACACCAACCATTTAAATATTCAGATAAGATTATGAACAAGAATTAAATTTTATTTTAAATGAATAAAGGCTTTTGTGAGTGATATGCTTGGAAATGCTAAATAGCTCTTCAAAATGGGAAGGGAATTTATGATTTGTAGGTTTTGCTGATTTTAGTAGTGTAAATACTCCCACTGTGACTGATTTCAGGTTATTAACGTGATATCACTGAACACAGAGTTGGGAAGATAGAAGCCAGCTGCAACTATGCTAGCCATAGCCAAACCTGGATTAATACTGTAAAAGAGTATTATTTTATCGCAAAGTACTTTTCAGTACAGCTGTAAACTCATTAATCATTTGTGTTTATTTTCCAAAAATATATGAAAACTCATTTAGTTTTCTTATAGTTCTAGAAAATGTGTATGAGTTTTATTTTATCACCAGCCTAACATGAGCAGTGATCTAATGAACCAAAATAGTAATAATAAAATAACATTTAAACAGACTTGTAATTAAAAAAATAATACAATTTGAATTTTTTCTGCTATAAAATGCATACTTCTAACATGGTTGATCTGATTTTGAAAGTTGCACATGATCACTGGAAACCATAACATTTATTGAATCTATCAGATCAGAGAAGAGAAAAATAATACTCTTCTTTCCTAATGTTATTTTAAAGGCTGCTTTATTGTTTTAAAGTATAGAATGTATCATTTGTAAAATAATATCTTTATACATGTAGAAAACCACTTCATCAGAAAATACACATCAGAAGCATTTCTAAATTGAAATGTCATCATCTTAAGACATACTACATGCCATTTTAAAAATAATATTTGAAATAATGAGGGGAAGAGTGAGGAAATAAAAACTGTAATTACAATCTAAAATTTTATTAGAGGTTCAGTATTAGAGATTTGAGTACCAGGAGAATTGAAACTCTATAAAGATTGTTTAGTGATTGGTATGAAGCACCAGAGCAGGTTGGCTTTGTTTTTTTGGTATAATTTTCCAAATAAGATATCATTTAAAGAAAGTATTTTATCAGTTTTTTTAATGTAAAACTATCTCATTTCAACCTTCTGCCAAACATGTAAAATATCATGTGTATTCACAGCAAGTGAGTTCCTGGCCAATTAAACCTACAGAGAACATACCATCCAAAAAAAAATTGTTAGTCCTTCTTCCCAGAGAAAAGTTACATTGAAGGGGAAGTTTTGCAGCCAGAACCCAAAATCTTGTTTTATCTGAAAAAATCATTTTCTTGCCAAAGTAAAGTTATTTTACTTGCTAGTAAGAAAAAATCATGATAGATAAAAAAGAAAAAAAAGATATAGACCTTTAGAGAATTCATATCTCAACTATAGATTTTATACTGGATCTCTCTCTAGGTATTGATGAGAAGCAGCAAGATACTTGACATTCTGTGGAGGCTTATTCGTGGGAATTTTTGACACATTCCACTAATGTTCTCGTGGCCATTAAGAGGTACATTGAGTTAAGAAAAGTTGTAATGTTTTCAGCATTAACTTGTTTTTAAGCTTTTATTTAAAACTTTACATCTGTGTAATGATAGGTAGAAATTCCCAAAAGTAATGTTGCCTTTCCTCCCTGCACCAACACCTGACCAACCACCATACAGCAGTTTCTTGATAAATATTTGTAGAGTAAGTGAAAACAACATCTGTAACCTCTGGAGTGAAAGAATGCTGTGAAGGGTTCCATCACATCACAAAATAGTACAGTGCTTTTAGAACTGTTTTGATGACAAACCATGATAAATACATTTTCCACTGTGATCAGGTACATACATACATACGGGGATCTACATATACATAAAAGAGTAAGTATCCTTAATATGTAAAATTCCATAGATGTTTACTATTCTGTATTTTTTTAAATAGTGATGACCACCTCCTATTGGATTTTGATAAACACTGCCCTAATATGGTAATATAAAAATGATTCTTTACAAATCTATAGATGTCTCTGTATGTGTGTGTGTCTGTATGTCTATAGAGTGTCCATATATAGATATGCATATATGTGTGTCTACATGTATATATATATGTGTGTGTGTGTGTGTGTGTCCATATAGATAGACATCACTGAGATATCTCAGTGAATGTTTGCAAATTTATGCATACTGTAGGGATAAAGTGTCATGGTAATATAATCATTTAACATTTGTTAGGTGTCCTTAGTCCTTGCAGACTAATACAGTGGTTTACGTAGAGTAGATAGGCAAAACAAAGACATACAACTGACAGAATCAAGTAGTAAACCTAACTATCCTGTATTTTTCTGTACAGCAAAAAAGGTATATCAATTCTTAGTAAGAATGTGGACAGGATAAAAAAATAGAGCCGTAATATGTGGAATGAGTAAAGTGACCAGGTCCAGTCTGGTTTTAATGCCATTGAGAACATTCCCAGGTTTTAGCATTTTCACTTGGACATTCTTAGCTAATGAGGATTCAATTCTAATAAAAAAACAAAGTACTCACCCAAAGTCCTGCACAAGAACTTTTCTGACTGGGTTTTGGGACATTTACATTTTGAATGAATATTATCATCTTAAGTTGTCCTTTATCTTATTTGATACCTTGTTGGTAAGTTGTATGAACAGTTCCTTGGGAAGGAAGGAGTTTATAGGAGGAGGGGTAAAAAGGCACACTGCTAAAATAAGCACCTATTTATTTTATAAGTAATGAAAGATGGTTAAAACAACATATTGTAATGTTCATTTAACATCGACTTTCTGGTCAGGAACATTCAAAGCCTAATATTAAAAATTGCCTCTGTGTCTATACCTGTGCACTGAATCACTTCCAAATTGAACAGTCAAACCTGGTTAATCTAAATTACTTTGCAAACTTCATTACATTACTTGGCTTTTTAAAAATCCTATGAAATTTAATAAGGACATATCCTACAGCTGGTTATCAGTTAAATCTTATTTGGTCATTTAGGTAAACCAAGGATAGATTAATCCTTTCTTTGATGGTGAGTTAGGGCCTTTAAATGTCAGAGTAAACTTGACATGTATATGAGCAAGAGAAATGAAGCATTTGGCATTAAAGGGTTAGTCACATAATTTAGTCCTTGAGACACTCTTGGGTGCTTTTAGCTAGAAAGAAGTTCAATAGTTTAGAAATGGTGCACTATGAAACAAGTTAAGTATTAGTGTACTTGAAATTTTCAAGAGTGCTTGATAAAAATCTATACTGCACTCCACTGTTCATCTTATTGCCCTTATGAGAAGCATTTGTTTATGTATTGAACTGTTGCATGCATGGAAAGATGTAATTTATAGTTCAGTAGATCATACATAACTATTTTGTGCTTTCAAAGTTTTGGGGGGAAATATGTATCACAAGAGGTTTATTTTTTTTTCCTGGTTATTTTTGTAGTTACTCTGTTCCTTTCTTGCTCTCTTCCCTTGTGATTTGATGGCTTTCTTTAGCTTGGATTCCTTTCTCTTTTGAGTATGTGTGTCACAGGTTTTTGGTTTGTGGTTACTGTGAGATTTATATATAGCATTCTATATATATAACAGTCTATATGAGGTTGATGGTTGCTTAAGTTCAGACACATTCTTAAAAGCAGTACTTTTTTATCATTCCCCCTCATTTTATTATATGATGCCATAATTTACATCTTTTTATTTTGTGTATGCCTTGACAAATTTGTGTGTATATGATTTTTTTTCATACCAGCCTTGTAAATGTTCTACAATCTTTACTTCACCTTTAGTGTATGTTTGGTTTTACCAGTGAAATTTTTTTCCTTCCCTAATTTTCTTCTAGTCATGGTCTTTTCTTTCTAACTTAATTTTTTAAAAATTTTAATATTGAGTACATAAAATACACAAATTTTAGTATATAGCTTGATGAATTTTGATGTGTATACACTCAGCAGGGTATATATTATAAGAGGTTAATATTTTTTACTGCACAAAGAGCCCTTTAAAGTTAAATAAAATGCCCAATATAAAAATAGACAAATAGAAACAGAACTCATAAAAGAAATATAAATGAATATTTATATTTAAAAAAATTAAAATATTAAAAGGTTTTTTACTATTTCAGTTCAGTAATAAATTCAGATTTTAAAAGCAATGAAACAAAAATTTTAAAGATGAATGCCTGTTAGCTAGGTGTGATAAATAGTAGCCAATGAGATGAGAAGGATGAAATGAGAAGTATTTCATTCTATGCAGTTGATAAGGTATGTATCAGGAAAATATAAGACAGTCACGTGTAAAACAATTAGAAGCAATGAGGAAATTAAAGTAGGTAGCAGCAAAATGAATATATGGAACTGCTATGGCTTGAATTATGCCTCCCAAAAAGATAAATTGAAATCCTAACCCTGCTACCTCAGAATGACCTTATTTGGCAGTAAGATCCTTGCCGCTATAATTAGTTAAGATGAGGTCATATTAGAGTACAATAGGCCTTTAATATGACTGACATCCTAATAAGACAATGTGAAAACATGGAGAAGGTCATATGACAACATAGGCAGAGATTGGAATTATGCTGATGCAAGCCAAGGAAGACAAAGGTGACACTAAGAGCTAAGAGAAAGGCATGGAACAAATTCTTAAGATCCATAAGGGAGTATGGCTCCGCTGACACCTTGATTTCAGACTTAAGCCTCCAGAATGGTGAGACAATAAATTTATGTTGTTTTA